AAAAAAAAAAAATATATATATATATAAAAGTTAAAGAAAACGTTATTTTCACTGAGACTTTAGGAGCTAGGTATGGATACAATTTACTGATCTCACTACTGGGAATGAGTTATTAATCTCCTAGAGGGAGATTAAATGCCTGCTGCATAGCTCACCATTAATAATCTATACAGTACTATAACAATGGTCCAGGACCACAGGATGAACTGTTAAAAGAAGGAACAACTGATGAGGTTCTCTGGCAGAAACAGGTAATCTGGAGATCCTTCAACAGAACAAGGAAAAGAACAGCATACTGGGAAGAGGGCTTTTATGACAGGCATCTCCTGGGGAACACAACAAAAACCTGTAAACATTACCATGCTATCTTACAGAATCACTACCAAGGAATAAAACCATCCCCTTCCCCGAGTGAAAGCAAATTCAAAGCAGTCTGTTTATTCAGTCTGCAGCTTTTTTTCCATTGTTCATTAAAATATGTTATTGTAGCACAAGTGGAATTCAGGAGACGATCTCTCTGGCTGATGGTTTGATTGGTGAAAATATTAGACTTCAACTTTATCTCCGCAAATAATGGGCTCTCTCTGGAATAGCTGAAACTTTGACAGGAAGGAAGAGACATTAGTGGGAATTTCCCCTAGATAACAGTCCTTGGTTTATAGAAATCCTGTTCCATTATCTCTAAATATTATACAGACATAAATATGCAGAACAACAGCATTTACTCTGCTGAATTTGGAAACACAGTGCTCTCTGCAAGAATCTTACAATATTTTTTTTACATACCTCATGCTCAAAATGACAATCGGATTTACAGAAATTTAGTGACAAAAATACAGAACTTCTATTTTAATGGACTCAGAACATTTTCTAATTATTTTTCTACTCCAGTTCTATAAAGTGAAGCATATAGTCTACTTCTTTTTCAGAAAACTTTTCTAAGAGAGCAGAACAACTATAAATCCAGTCCCCACAGTTTTTTATTATTTTTTGTAAAGTGATAGATTACTGTCTGGCTAGGATTCCTATCTATAGTCAACTATGCACTTTTCTCTTTGATCAGGAATAGCTAACAACATACCAGGTGGCAGCAATTATCAATAGGTAGTTTATACATTACATGTAAAATGTGGGGGAAATATATACATGTAAATTTTGTTTTATGTAAACGTTTTCTGAATTTTCTGCATCATAAAGCACATTGTTATTTCTGTATCAGTCCTCTTTTGGTTCTAGGTTGAATCTCTTTCTATGTATTTTTGTAAGGAAAAAAAAAAAAAAAAAGTAGAGGTAGAGGTTCCACTGCAGCTTGAAACCTGAGGGGAAAAAAAAATAATTGCATAAATTATAAATAATTTTCCCTTTTCTGTCTTTATTGGTGAATACTACAAAAGTAAAATGCTCTGCACAATGTCAGTATTTGCTATGTTTCACTACATTTTATTACAGTTCTTTCCTTATAGTTACATTAAAAAATTTAAAGTAAGGAAATTAATCACTTCTCAATTGGGAAATGAAAATTTGCTGACACATCCAAAGTACATTTGCTTTTATTGTAAGACTTTATACTATGAAGCAATTCTGACTTAAAAGGATGCTTGTCATTCTTAGATGTTTTCCTTACTTGTTCTAAATTGCTATTTAAATAGGGATGGTATGCTGATATTATAATTTATCTTATTGTACACTTCACTTAAGATAATGTGTATGAAAGTCTGTCAGGCAGCCCTTATTCAGGGAAAACTCCTGTTTGGCAGGGATAGGACTACAAGACAACAAGACAACAAAAAAGTTTCACATTTGAGATGCAATCCAGCAACAGGCTTCATTAAAATTTTCTGATGAATTGACACTCATTGTGCAGGATTTCTTTTTCATTTGTACAAGTTTCTAAAATTTACAAGTTGTCGTAGTATAAAAGGCCAGGGGACAGTCCTTTGTTAAACACCTGGTGGGCTGAGGCAGGGACAGGGAGGGTTTCACTCACCACTTAGGGTCATGGGCAAGAAACCTACAAGACTTGGGAAGAACAAAAAAACAACTGAATTTATTAACTATTTACAACAAGAAGCAAGATAAGGAGAGAGAGAAAAAAAAACATCTTAGAAAGGCACTTCTCCCCCACCCCTCCCTTCTTCCCAAGGCCCAAAGGCTTTGTTCTGTACCTTCTCCCCCTCCCCTGGAGGCACAGGGGGGCAGGGAGTGGGGGGTGCAGTCAGTCCCCTGCTCCTTCCTCCTCAGGGGAGGGCCCCTCACAGTCCTTCCTGGCTGCAGCATGGGGTCCCTTCTCACGGGAGAGTCCTTCACAAACTGCTCCAAAGTGAGTCTTTCCCACACGGGGCCACAGTCCCCTGACAACTGCCCGGCTCCGGCGTGGGTTTCTCCAAAAATCCAACGTACGGCCA